TTTGAGGGAGACTTTGCGTGAGGCGGCAAGCCAGAAAATGCTGTCCGAAGTGGGTCACCCGTGTCTGTAGAAGGCTTGAAAATCGCAGCAGTCTCCCTCACACAGAAGACAGTTTGAGGGAGACTTTTCTGGTGGGACGATTGGGTTGCCGCTTGCAGCCCACTTGCAGCACACTTGGCCCACTTGCGGCACACTTGCCCTACCTGGCCACTTGCAGCCCACTTGGTCCACCTGACCTACTTGCAGCCCACTTGCAGCACACTTGCCCCACTTGCACCCCACTTGACCCACTTGACCTACTCAGGGACGTGGACCAAGTGTGTCAAGTGTGTCAAGTGTGCTGTAACAGCAAGTGTGCCAAGTGTGCCAGCACACTTGCAATCGGTTAATTTATCCGGAAAAGCAAGTGTGCCAACACACTTGCAATCGGTTTATCGTTCCCGCCTGCGCTCGCAATGCCATGATAGGCTTACCGGATCTTACTAGCTCTTTCAGATCCAGCAGAATTGGACGTCAACCGTTGATTTGGATTCAGCAGGGCCTTCGTGGGTGCAGTCGCCGATTCCGCGCACAAACCAAATCTAGGAAGTACGAAAACCCGATGCTTTCGCCCAGCCGAAGTGAGCTTGTTGCATTTCTAGCTGCATTTAAGTTCACGATAAGGTTTGAGCTTGAAGAGATTAAGCTTGCAACTGAATTTGATGTTTGTGAACAGTGGCCAGCCAAAATTCAGAGAACTTCCCCTGCGAGAGCAGTCCCTTTGTTGCTGAGCCACAAAACCCTTGCTCAGCCCTCCTCCAATCCGTGCTGCACCTCCAGATGTGCACCATACTTGTGAGTTCCTGTTTGTCGTGAGTTGGTCCCCGTACCTATGCTGCCGTCTTTCCTGCATGCGAAGCAAGCTTTCAAGGAGGCCTTGCACTGGTACATGTCGTTGACCTGAAAAAGGTCACCTTCGGAGAGATAGTCCCGATTGCCGAGGAGACCCTCGGACGGACACCACATAACAAAAAAGGCAGCCAGGCAAGGACTATGAAGCATTTTGAGGCTATTGAGGAAGCACTGAAGCCTGAGAGCCTGTCTTGCTGTGCAGTGACAAGGGACATGTTTCTGAGGCCCCCCCATCAAGTCATCAAGAATCTCAACATGGAACCACGGCACTGCTACACCAGGTTCGACCGGGTCGAAAGCATCGGTCAGGGGATAGTGCATGATGCTTTCCTAGGAGTAAGCTGAGGCGGCTGCTTGAGCTACGGGTCTTGTTGCCGCATTGCTTTGCGCATCCAAGCTGCATAATCATATGGAGCATATCCGTGATAGCCTCAGTAAGTGTGGAGATGTCAGCGGTTGCTAACACGCTACAACACGTCCATCGGCGAAGGCAAGCACAACCCTACAAAAAGCTGGCGAGGTTCTATCACCAGCACCCTGGTAGTTTGAACCTGTGTAGGTGTTCGGCTCCTCTATGTACCTGGGTTCGTGCTGCAAGAATCCTATCGAACAATGAGAGTATAGAGCGCTATGGCAACACCTGTAGCATTCCACTTCGATATCCTAGACCAGCTGACTGGCCGCCAAATTCTCGGAGACCCAAGAAAGCTGCCTTGTGCTGCCATGCTTCTGAGATCTCCAGTTTCTTTCCTAGCAGAAGCACAATTGCAGTTGCAAACATGGTGCAAAAGCCGCAATCGACATGGTGCAAAAGCCGCAATCGACTGGACTGTGAAGCCACGTCTTAACTCTCATGACAACGTACGTTTCAAATCACTAAGAGGTGCTCCAGACAGACTTCAACAATTTTTTGCTAAACTGAATTTGCACAGCGCCCTGTGCAAATCAATGCCGATCTCCCAGTTAGAGCCCCTGAAGCTATGAAACTCTTGGCCCAGAACGCATGCTAAACCGCCCCACAAATATGGAACTGCAGCGCCAAATCACCTTTTTGTAGAAGCAGTAATCTATTACTCGCTATTGCGAAAACGAATAGAAAAGCCTGGGGGCTGTAGACTGCAGTTGTTGAAACAATCAAGTTGTAGTGAGAGCTTCAAATTTTGGGATTGCAAAAAGGAATAAGGAGCTTGACGGCTTGAGAATGTTATTGCTTAAGCAGCTGGACAGTGGTTTCAGTTCGACGAATGGTTTTCTGAAAGCAGCTAGCAGGCGTGATAATTTAAAATGCTGCAGAAGCACATACAGACTGGTTAGGTTTTGTGATATGAAATTGCTGACCCAAAGAAACAGGCCTGAAGGCTGTAGAATGTTGGTAGATTGAAACAAATAAAAAATGCTGAGAATTCCACAAATGCCATTACTAAAGCGATTAGAACCATGAGGCTCGCCATTGCTGAAGTGATTAGAAGGGCCTGAAGGCCGGGGAAGACTCTTCTGCAACAAGGGTGGATACCACCTGCGTGGGCCAAGGTGTTTTCTGACTTGCGGAGCCCCAGATCTTGAAATTTGAGTACCACACCCACGACAGTAACGACAAGCCCCCAAACGATCCCTCCGAAAATACCCTTCACGCAGCCCCATCCCCACAACAAACCCACCAACAATGGCAATTTGCCCACTCATGTGGAGTGCTCATGACTGATATTCGTTTTACAATTAAAGGGAAAGCCCCGCTACTTCAACAAATACCAAAGCCATAAGCTCCAGATGCTTGTGCATCAAACAAGTAAAAGAGACAGACTGCAAGTTATTGTTTAAGCAAATAGAAAGACTGAAGCTCCAAATGTTTATGCTTCAAAAGTCATACGAATAGTATGTAACATGTAAGAGTCCTGGAAAGCAAATAAGAAAACCTGAAGCTCCAGATGCGCGTGCTTCTGGATAGCAATTGAAGCCCTAAAGCTGCAACGTATTGTTAGTCAAGCAAATAGAGACCCTTCAAACTCCATTGGGTGCATTTCAAACAAACAGGAAACGCCCCCGGACAATAACTGATAACTGGCGCATCCCTTGCATTGCGCGACTGCGCCTGCTGCTATTACTGTTTCTACTACTCCACGCCTACGACTACAACGACAACGACGCCGCTGACCATGACAACGATGATGACTCCTACCCAAACTAACATGATGATATGATGATACACTTCTGGTACCACGACTATGACCACTGACCTTAGATCGCTGATACCAATGTTACTTGGGGTACGTACTAATTCTTAGTAGCTGAAGAGAAGTCTCGAGATAGAAGGTATGAGTGGGGATGGTTCCCAAGAAATTGATCAATCGCGGGGGGAGTACTGCGAGGTCGACATGAATTTCGTCATACCTTCCGCGTGTGCCTCCTTAAGCGCACGTCTTTCTTGACTTATTAACTGCAGGGACGCCGCAACAATATCAGCAACAGTTGACCGTCATGAAAGGGAACACCACTTCATTCTTGATTTCTTGACAACCTTCTTCAACCCCCCCGGCCTTGCTAAACATGTGATCTTGCGCATACACGGCCCGTCCCCGGAATACAAAATTATGATTCAATTTTGCGCACAACTTCCTTTATGTGCTGCTTACCTCTAACGAGGCAAGCCGGGGCAAACCCTCTGGGCCACACATGGTCCGTTGCCCAGCCGGGTGCCGCGAGAATCTGCTTCAGTCCCCAAACACCATTCTCGCAATGCCTTACTTCTCAACCCTCTATCTGGGCTCCAAACAGATTTCCTCCCTACTCAAGAGGCCGTGAACTTGACGCGGGGTTGGCTCATCCACCCCTCCACTTGAATTGATTTCCTTATCAAACTTCCAGCATCTCGATACTCTAAAGTTACAACAACATTCAGCCTAGTTCCCTGCTCCCAGCCTTGTTGCTTGACTGCTTGGCGAAACTAACCCAACCGAACCCCCTTCCTGCGCTCCTCACTGTCCTACATCATACACGACTTCATCAATTGCGCTCCTGGGCAGCGCTGTGTGGCAGGGTTTATGAGGACCCTGTAAGCTCTGCCCTGCGGTCTTGGGGTGTAAATGGAAATAGCAGCTCGGGTATGATGCACGACTGACGTTTCCTTGACATCGCTACACAGCACGGTCTGAACTTTCTGGAGCACAAGCGAAAACAACAGCATACTGGTGTTTTCTCGGGACCCTGCCCCGCAGATGGCAAGGTCACCCCTTTGTTTCCTCCTTACAAGGCTTTTGTCCTTTTCATTTTGGCTGGTTGCCCTGACAGATCTGCGTTTAACCCGCGAGGGCGATCTGACGGACAAGACAAACCCTTTTCTTGGAAACACACGCTTTGACTACTCGTTGACAAGGCGGTCAGGTGACGGCGACAGTGGCGGCAGCAAGGATTCAGCTGACAAGCACCCATGTTTCACGCTACAGGGATTGCTAGCAGGAATAGGTGGAAGAATACGGCAGCAAAAACAAGGCAAGGTGTGTGAAGATGAACCAGAAGTTCCAAGCAAAGAGCTGAAGATCCTGACCCTATAGGCACGGAATTGGGTCACCGCATCAGCCCGCTATTTGCTGATTTCGAAAAGCCAGATCGCAAGGAGCATACACATCCTGGCCCTATCTCGAAGATGGCAAGTTCAGATTTTTCATCAACTTCTCAAGCAGATGCCTCATCCAGCTTGGCAGGATGTGAGCCGAACGCACACAGGCCCCTGCAGCAGCAGCAGCAGGAGCAGCAGCAGCCGCAGCAGCCGCAGCAGCAGCCACGGCCTGTGCAATTGTAGGCGCTGATCAGGCTGAATCAGGCTCATGGGTCTTCCGGCACCCCAGGACGAAAGCGGAAGCGCGGCAATGGAAACGATTGGAGAAGCTAGCAAGCAAGCAAGCAAGCAAGCAAGCAAGCAAGCAAGCAAGCAAGCAAGCAAGCAAGCAAACAAGCGAACAAGCGAACAAGCAAACAAGCGAACAAGCGAACAAACAAGACTCCGACACTGGCGAAAGTCACATGTTGCGCAGCCATGGATAAGCATCACGCTGTTGAGCTCATGATTCCAGAGTTCCTGGACGATGGATGCGCTGGATGGCAACTTCTTCCCTCTGCTCCTTCTTCACTCCTGTTCATCTCCCGGTTTCCTGAATTTTCTTTTCACGCCTCATCCTTCCCACGTCATCCTGTTCTTTTCTGCGACGCTCTCCTTCAGGTTCTCCTTCCTCGTGGAGCTACTTGTGACGTTCCCCCTCAAGCCACTCTTGGTCCTCTACCTCCTGCCCGTCCTGCAAAATACGTCGCAGTTCCTCTTCTAGGCTCTCCACACCTCTGCGCCCACCCTTACACTTACAATCCTTGCCACCATCTTCTGCCTGCGTGGAAGCTCCTACTTTTAGCGTGGCTTCTTCCGCCCCTTCGCCTTCCTTTCCTCCCTTCCCTTCGTGCTCCTTTCTGCCTTGCCCTGACCTGCGACCTTGCTCCTCCTCCCAGCCTCGCCTTTTTGTCAAGCGTTTCGCTCTCCTGCATCTTTCATCTCGTCTTCTTGCCGGATCTCCTTTCCTCCTTTTTTGCGCGTGGCTCCATGAAGAACTTATCCTTTTCGCAAGTAGTCTTCGTAGCGCGACGCGTAGTTGGATAAGTCTCCTCCAAGGGCCTTCCTTCGTTCAAATTTTTATGACAAAAACTGTCGCGATGCCCCGGCGCCAATCCTTGAGGATTCCACACTTGAACTCCATCTCTGCGGTGGCTGTTTAGCGAGGTGGATCCTGGCCTTCGTCACTGCGCGGGTGTTCCACTCTTGCCAGGATTGCGTGGGTTTCCTCTCAAGGCCAATCATGCTTCGAATGTGACACCAACTGGTTGGCGTTGGCGGCTTTGAGCAGCGCGTCTCCTGGGTAAAGAAAGTCCCTGCTTCCCACGTCGACGCCGGTGTCACCCAATTACCTCAAATGTGCTTAGTGTCGCAGGCACTGTCCTGCCACATGGCTCCAGACTGCGCTCCGTCAGGAAATCGATGATGTCGCTCTCTGACTTGAGCCACAGCCGACCTGTCCCCATCTCTAGCCAGCATCTATAGTGACCCCAGACCCGGGCTGCCTGACGCAGTGTACTCACCCGGCGTCCGCCACAGAGTCGAATCCACGTCTCGCAGGATCCTGAACCTCCTGCATCAGACGAGCAGGAAGTTCTGCATCCACGATAAATTCTGCCACGCGCAAGTTCCATCTGCGGACTTCGATGCGCTCCAGATCTTGGGGGTTCGAGTCATCAGAACGTAGGGCTCGATGAAACCTGGATTTGAAAACCTGCCGCGCCAGCACTACATCTTTGGAAACCAGGTCCAGATACACAGAATTTCTGGGAGCCGAAATCTAGCGCATCCCGAGCATCACAACAAACGTATTGGACTCGTCCACCCGATTTCCTAGGTTCGTAGCTTGCATAAGTTTACAGATTCCCTTGGTTTGTGAGTCAAAGCATGGAAAAAAAGCATATAGCAAGTCCAACCATGATGAGGGATCTGTTGGTTTCCTCGACGGCGATGGCTTTCCTTGGGATTTTATAAAGGAGTTTTACTTTGACAAGAACATACGTAGAGTAAATCTAAGTGGAATTGGCTTTCAAAGAAAATGTCATTCGAATTGAGGCAATAATTCGGGACCTCTTTCATTTCCTGGGCTTTACTATTTATTGTTTCTATTAGGTTGTTCATGAATCATGAAAGACTGTATATTACAATGAAAGTAAAG